TCCAGTCCCATGTTAAATTTTTAGCACTAATATTTTTCAAAATCGTCGTGGTTAAAAGTTGAGCCACATACAGTACAGATTGCGCTGATCTAAATTACTAAATTCTGTCGAATACACAAACGTTTTTACCAAGTCAAACTTAGGGAATGACTTATGGTGAGCTAAAGCAACTGTTAATGCCCATCAACCTGGTCAGAAAAAAAATATAATAATTTAGACACTAGCATTAAGTGACATGGGTCACAGTGCTGTCTAAAAAAAAGAAAAAATTGTCACTGGTTATAGTTATATAGTTATTACTACTGTAAAGTAGACATTCAACATCATAACAAAATTTTTACCAGTTGAAATAACTTAGTTTGGGCGTGTTGCTAGCGTAGTGGTCAGCATCTTAGACTTTGACGGGTTCAATTCTCGCCAATCGCAAATGACTAAGCCCTAATAATGCGACTCTCTCAGCCTCGTGTGTAGCGTGATCTGTTCCTGGTATCCAGCATCTGTACATAAAGTGCAGACAAACTCTGTATTAATATTAGAGTAATAAAATACACTGTAGATCCATGTAGACGTCACTACATTAGTCACCGCGTCTGCCATTACCAGATCCGGTTGAACAGGTAACGGTCGATATGTAAATCTGGAACATCGTTGGTCGCGATTGCTTTATTTCTGGACCACTAACATTATGCAATCGCATTCTACTTCCTACTGCCGTTTGACCTCGCTATGATGGCCGCTTGTAATGGAACACGTAGTTTTGTTGTTTTGTAATTAATAATTGTGTATTGAATGTATTCCCTTTCACTATTCTTGTGAATCAAACGAGATACAATTGGTTAGGGTTCATTATCATCATCGTCATCAATTGAGATGGGGATGTCACATTGGTGTAGGTTTTAATGTAAGACTAAATTACTTACGTATTTCTAGTCTCGGATCAACAAAATATGTTAATTTTGTACACGTTTCGGTGTTAAAACACCATCGTCAGCTTCACGTACTTGTAGAGTTGGTCAGTTGTTTCATTGTCAAGAGTACACAGTACGATTTACTTATTTTTTGAGGTTTGGCGAGAATTACGTTGTTCATTTAGTCTTGCATTGTCAAACAGCTCAGGGGCTAGAAACATAGATATGGTTAAAGGATGAGTTTGGAATGGAGTGAGGTGGAGGTGTCATGTGTAGCTATCTTACTGACTAACATTTAGTAATAAACATCAGCTGTAATGATCAGCTGTTTATAACAGTAACATAAACATCAGCGGCTTCTTAGCTAGGATAATTATTGAACGATCAGGTTACTTTTCTCAGTATCGATCCGGCATCCTTGTTAGGTGAGCACTAAAATAAACACTCAGTTATCCAGTCAGTTCCAGGGATTTTTGACCATAAGTTGAATTATTGTTTTTATTAGAATCTTTATTAACTTATTGTGTTTTATATCGATACGTTGATGTTAGGTACATATATTGTCACAGTTTGTTACTGTATCGAGATATATATTTAACTAGCTGTACCCGCGGGCTTTGCCCCGTTTAACTTCACAAGTGAGCTCGTTCGCATGGCTCAATCACGTCCTGGTTGGAGCTCGTTCGCTACGCTAACTCGCTTCCAGGTTGAAGTTCGTTCGCTACGCTCACTCACCTTTTGGTTGCAAATTGGCTGTAGTCATAAATTTAAAAAAATAATAGTGCTGCACCCTGTTGTTAATCCTTGTAAATTTAATGCTATTGAACATCATCAGAACAGAACCAACTTGTTTAATTGAAACAGCTGTTAAGAAATTCCTATTAAATATGAAAAATCATAAGGTTAACATGGGAAACTCCAGAGCCACTGAGGCGGAGCCCGAAAGCCCGATCAGAATAAAAACTACTTAGTTTTCCTATTTAATGCCCAAAGAATCGGTGTACCTAATTTCAACCTCCTAGGTAAATGGGAAGTGGGAGAATTAGTGATGAGTGAGTGAGTGAGTCAGTCAGTCAGTGAGGGCTTTGCCTTTTATACATTTGGACTAGCTGGGTACCCGCCCTTCGTACGGGGTTGATATACAATGCTTATTGTAGTTAAATACTCGTGCTTTGCATTTGCAATGAGAGAGGACACGTTTTGAGAAAATTTGGTTTACTATAATCATTGACTATGAACTATAATCTTCGATATACTATAGTATATAGAACAACTACCATAGCCATAATGTTCTACCACTTCACCTAAACAATAGAAAGAAGTAAAGTTCTCACACTCAGGTTTTTGTTGCTGCTTGGTTCAAATTAGCTGTTGTCATAAATGTATAAAGAACTAATAATGGTGCCGCACCCTGTTGGTAAACCGTATAACCTTTTAATGCTATTGAATATCATAGAAAAAATTTGTGTAGTTGAAACATTTGGAAAAATTATTTAATTCCTCTTAAATATTAATACTCATAAGGTTAACATGGGAAACTCCAGAGCCGCAGGGGCAGAGCCCGAAAGGATTTTTGAGGTAAGAATATGTCTATATGTTAATCGGGAATGTGAGCTATCATCATACCAAATTTCAACTCAATCCGACCAGTAGTTAATGTGTGATTGAACTTCAAACAAACAAACAAACAAACATACAAACTTTCACATTTATAATATTAGTATGATATAATAATTATTGAACTTAGATTGAATTAGATGTAGTTTTGATATTTTTTGAATCTACCGAGCTTGAGTTTTTACGTAAATGAGGGAAAACATACGCAAACTAATTCACCTAAGATACTCACGTAAATGAAACTTGTAAAAATAAACATTGATTAGTTTCCATAACTGTAAGAAATTGTTTACATTTACTCTATGTACAAACTAAATAAGTAATCATAACAAACTAAGTAAACGAATGATTTTGAATACGCTTCAATAAAGTTAATGCATTTATTCTGCCACTTACCTGATTGCATTTACCAGATTTAATTTAATCAAACTAAGTTATACAACTATACTGAGCCTTGATTCAAAATGTAGCTAAACAATCTTATAATTATACTATCGCGATACTTAAAATGAATCGCCATACACCTTGACTTACTTTACGTTATAATCGTTGACTTCTACGCTATAGTTAATGGTTATTGCAATCCTTATACGAGTTACCTCAATGCAACTATTTCATGATCTGGTCATCTGGTCTAGTGGTAGAGCGCACGGCTTCGGTCCCTGAGGTCCTGTATTTAGATCCCGCCAATCAAAAATGTTTTGGGGGAATTTCCCATATACGGAATATGCCATTACCGTAGATCTCATGGAAGACCTGATCCTGGGACCGATATATTTTTTTCGTTTTGGTTTCCAGATGCCTAAAACACCCTCTGTGTCCGTTAGCGTGATAACTGGAGCAAAAATTATCCGATTATGATGCAATTTGGTACAAACGTGTAAACCTAGGTTTTAACGAATTCGCGAACCAGCATAATCGAAATATGAGAACAGGGGTTTGTGGGTGTTTTAGGACGTAATGATTTTTTTCCCGTTTTTGACCTCAAAAACATTCTAGTTTGAAACTTCTATTTTTAACAATTTTTTAGAGCTCATAAAAAATAATTTAGCACATTGAAGTGTTGTGTACCTAACGGTCACGGAATGAATAAAAAAATGTACATTTTAAATTCCCATATTCTTATCATGAGGGAAAAATAAACTGTTGTAGTTTGCTTGTTTTAGTTTAATCAAATTTGGAAATTATGTTTATTGCATACTAAGCTATCAGCATTTTAATTGAAAACACACCACATTAACTTCCCTGCAGCATCAAACCTAGGCACTAATTTTAATTTAATGTTTGTTTTTTTTACAGGAACTAGGTTTGATAACTTTGGGAATATGTTAGTGGAAAACTAGCCAGGTAAATGGAAATTCGCTTCCTACATGTTTACTGCGGGGGTATATTTGGCTATGTGATAATTACGCGGTACTGCAGGCCTAGCTCAAAGTAATCTGCAAAAGCTTTTTATGTGCAAGTAGGGAAAATTCCAAGGCATTCCCAGGTTTAAGCTAGACTATTTCACTCACCTACCGTATTAACTCTCTGTCTGGACTACCAATGAGCCTACGAGATTGCCTCGTGTTGGTGAAGCCGTTACAGTTATTGGTCGATATAACCACTCGTATTGCTCACAATAAAATACAAACCCGCCGTCCAATGACCCTTTTAATGGCCCTCGTTTGTATCGGCTACTTTACCTCTCGCAAACTGATCTTTATTGATTCATTTGGTTGTAACGTTTTACATCAGTGATACATATTGTAGACGTTATATTTTTGTATAATTTTTTTATTGTGATTTTTGAGATACATGTTTGTATATTGCTATGTTTTGTTGTTCCTCACTATTTGTCAGTAGGAGATTTATTTGATATACAAAATAAGTTGGACAGGTAAATAAGTTATTTGCTGTGAGACAGTTAGCAAGACCAGGGTTTGGACTTCATTAAATACAGCAAACATTGCCAATGACGTTAAAACAATGAGTTGAGCTTTGAGTTTTTGAATGATACTTAAAATATAAGGAAATACCCCTGAGTACCTTCGTGGCATAAATTTAACTCGAACTTTTAGTTATTTGTTTATTCTGTATAATTTATGTATATTATTTTTCGTAATCAACGTTTTAATTGTATTTAGTACTTTATGATCAACGCCCTTAAACACTTGTATACCTAATGATCAACTTAATTTTTTGCAGCTAATCTTTCAATTATATTAGTCAACATGGATAAACTAATCAACTTACGTCAATTAATTCTACTTTTTTCCTGTCATTGTTTGTGTAGTGTTAAATAGTTATTAATTTAATTACGATAGTTTCCGTGGTCATATTTCAATTAGTATAATTATCACATATGACAAATTCTAGTCAACAGAGCAGGCCTGATCTTGTAATACTTTATTCTAATACATGTAATATTTATAACTCTCATATTATAAATATTTGTTCAGGTTGAAAACCTTCAATGTTTTTCTTTTTTTCCAGAAAGGATACCGAGAGGAGTGACGTCATGATCTATTTGCGACGCAGACAATAAAGGTAAGCCTGAAATGTTAATTAGTAAAACACGCTTGATTCAAGTCTACATTGATTCTGTATTTATCGTTGACATGTAGGAAACAGCCTGTCTACTATGGATTCAATCTTATTATACGTTAAATAGTTGAACGGCTAAGATGGTCGAATGGTTGGAGTTTTCCAATTCCGTCTTGGAGGTCCAGATTAATTCCGTCAATATTTGTGCCATGCAATGCTGCAATCTGTCCAAGAGCTGTACTAAGCTGTAGATACACAAGTCTAGGAATAAAATAGACTGTATCAGCAATCTGAAATATACTTTTTTAATTAGCTCGACACCAACCCTAATCAAGGTGTAAAGAAAAATAAAAACAACTCCCTCCTACTACTTTTATATATTTAAATATTGTATTTAAATATATTTGCTCCTTGCAATGCTCTCAAATGAATCTTTACAAATGTTGGTTGCCCCTGGGTTGGAAGAACTCCAGAAAATAAAAATATCAGACAGAGCTTTTTGGCAGTGGAAGCTTGATGTTATTGAAAAAATATGAGTGGGCCCTGCAAAATATAAATATTCCCAAAAGGTCCTTAGGGGACGCCCTTGGCACTGTTTGTAGTTCTTCCAAAAAAGTAATACCTTTAATGAGAGCAATTTACCAGTCTTAATTCTACACCGAATTTACTTGCTCACTACTACACTAGTGTTTAGTGTTGCACTTAAAAGGTGAATCTTTTGTAGTGGCCTATTATTTACTGAATTACCTTTTGTTTACCAATTTGATACTATAGCATATAATAAAGAACTACCAGGTAATTGAGAACTAAAAGTGAGTACAATTTGATTTATTAAGCATTATTTAAGATTTACAATGATTCCAGTTTGACAGTTTCTGATTGTGTGGTGCAATATAAAAATATGACCTTGAGTGACACAATCAGACGGAATTGATCTGTCTGAGAATGTTGAACGGATTTATTCAAAGGGGAATATTTGGCGCGGTTTCACACCGATCTCGAAGGTGTCAACGGAGGAGTGGTATTTAATTTAATTTGAGACGACCAGTGCCAAACAAGTCCTGTTCGTTGGCCAACGATGTAAATATGAAGGTCGATTCTCGAAGGTCAACTGATTAAACAGTATTGCGTTTAATCGTAATAATATTTACTGGAACGTTGCTTATTGTTTTATAGCTAATTTGGCACTTTGGCGGTTCGTCTATATGCAAACTGGCACAGCCTCCGATAACACTTCCCGATTCAGCCGAACCAGCAACCTAATCCCTCCTTTGATATTAAATGATTCCCCCAAATTAAAATGCTGATTGTGACACTCTGTAACGAATTGTACTTTTAATAATGACTCTGTGCAAAATTCAAATACTATATAAAAATATTACAAAGCAACTCTGAATTACCCTATAAAAACATTTTCATATATTTATTCTTAATACTATAGAAATATCACAGTCTAATAAATAAAGCGGATTGCAACAATATGAATGGATTTAAAAATCAACAAATTGTGATCGAACCTATGAACATGTGCTTATTCTACATGAATTGACAAAACAAGACAGGAAAATTTACCAAAGTGCGACTCACTGAAAATCTCAATTTAACAAATAAATACACAAAATTACTTACAGTCTGGACGTCCACAAATATAACACAAAGGGGAAAGGATGGGAAAACGTAACTAGCCGGTATACTACAACACGCGATCAATTGAACTCGTGAATCGTTTGAGAAATTTTCAAATGGCGGACTGCGTTTGGCCGGTAACGAACTTTTGCACTTTTTGACAAAAACACTGATTCTAATTTCCGATCGCGAGGCAATTATATCCCTTAGGGATATAGGCTGAACGACTTTAAGGAAATTTAAGATTGGCCGACCAAACGCCGCGAAATGAATTTAATTTCCACGAACGATAAACAATTTTACCGAACTAGCTACGATGAGACTTGGGTAAGGACTGAGTACTGATTTAAACAGATGGCCGCCCGGCTAAACCTTATCCCCTCTCCGTCTTTAGTGCGTGGTGCATTCTGGTCTATACTGATCTATTGTTGAAACCAGCTGACTGTTCTTCGCATTAACCTGTATTGATTTGTTGCCTTTTACAACAAAATCGGTACAAAGGGTAATCAGTGGGGGTAGCCATGATAATTTATGGGGAAATCACAGAAGTTGCAATAACTTTTGAACCATTATTTTTACATAATTATGGGGGCACAGTTTTTTAAGAGTAAAAGGTCTGTACCATACTAACTTTTTATCAAAATCGCTAGAGTTGTTGTGAAAATCTAATTTTCCATTGTAATTGAAAATCGCTATTAAAAATCTAAATTATTCTGAAAAATGTGTAAGTGACGAAACCTGGTCAGTGTTGTTACGTAATTCCACATATGCAAAATGTTTCCAATTTTAAACTGTTAAATATACAATAACGATACATTTATTTCCTTTACATTGAATAAGTCATTGTTTGAGAATGCGTTCATAGTTTACTGGAGAACAAGTTGATGTTGAAGGAAGTACAAGGTCGGGATGGTCCACGGGGAGTTTGCCTCCATTAAGGGTCCAAGATGAGACAGATTGCTGTATTGTGTATTGTGTATTGCTGCCGCTCCGCCACTGTATTGTAGTGCTGTAATGTATTGTTACTGGTTGTTCTGTAATACGTTTTGAACACGGGCTATTTGTATGGCGAAATACTGTCAAACCTGCCTTTTCTAAGCATAACTTATACAGTATGATGATGAGAATGCAGTTTGATACATGATTTAATCAACATGTTTAGGATTGATCGTAACTTTTAGTTTTGCTAACATAATATTTATCAGGTTCAATATGACTTTGTAAATGTAATATCCAAAACGATTTGTTTTGGAATTCGAAAGTAGACTTTTGAAAAGTAATATTTTACGCCCACTTTTGTAAAAATTTTAGTATATAACAGTTAACTAATTTTCATAAGTTATCACCTGTCTGATTATGTGATTGCCCATACAACTTACTTTGGTAAAAATCGTCTTAAAAATTTGTAGGATGTACGGGGTTTTCCGAACGTACCTTTACAATACTTTCATAAAAAATATAATTTGAATTACTAAAACATTTTTGTAACTATAACTTTAAAACTGTAACGTATACATTTTTCCCTTTAAAAGAGTTATGCATACGAAAATGACATAACAATGAATCATCAGTGTTATTTACGAATTTTATTTGCTTATTTGTGAAACAATTTCACTTAGGTTATAATTTGTTGTAGAGACAATTTAATTTAGAGTTGAACTACACAATTAATAAATAAATATTGTGTTAATTTTATAGTATTTATAGTATTTTCCCCTAACTTTGCACTAAAATAACCTAAAATGTAGTGCAACTTAAGAAATACTTTACAATTTTAGCATTCTATGGGGAACAAACTCAGCATTTACGTGTACTTTTAAAATGAAAGTGTATTTATCAGTATTATTTATCTTCGTTGAACGCAGAGTTTGTGTGTGACGCGTCAAAGCATTGGAGCTTGTAATTACCCAGTCAAAGGCACAATCGATGATCTGATACAATGCAGGGCTAACGGAGCGACTCACAGGACCGAAAATGGACAGTTTTAAAATAACATGCAAACAATCTAAAATACCCCTGCCGCAGCAAACCAGCACACTAAGCGAATCTCAATTTGTCTGATTGGATTTTAGCGAAAATATGTACATAAAAAAGTCATATTGGTGACTGTCGATTGTTGATGAGTAGGTTTGCTGCTATGAATTAAATATATCCATAAACAAGTAAACTGCAACAGTTTACTATACCTCTAGATTAACATAAGAATGTTAAATTAATATTTTGGAAATATGCATTTAAGGTAGGCCTACCATTATTCCCTGTAATATCTTTTACGAAATTCTTGTTTATCAGTTTTAAATGTGTCAATAAATTGTAAAAACGTGAAAAAAATTCATTTTACATGAAGTTTTTTACTGTATTCGTCTAATATTTGATTCGTATTTTACTATCCTAAAAGTTTTGTGCTATACGCTTGAATAAAACAATCGGAAGGTACATTAAAAAACTTGCATCAACAACCTAACGTGTTTTAATCAAACTTGTTCCTCAATGTAATGCGTCTAATTTTTGAACGCATAAACTTCTAGTTTTGGCTTGATCTATACATACACTCCCTAAATTATGCGGTTATTCACAACTATAAATCTATATGTTTACCGCATGTTTGGTCTAGTTTATGTTGGGTGCGATATCGAAAAGCACACGGTCCCCAAACAAACATTGATAACGAATGTGAGACAGCCTAAGCCGCAAACGATATATCAAGAAGTGAACGGTGTTTAAGGACAAACAGTACGGATATTCAGACACTTGGCAAACATCGCTCCCTCTGTCTGGGATATCTTGTCTGATTATATCTGTGTCTTTTAGACACTACGTAATCCATTATAGTAAATGTTCGTTTGATTATGTATGTTCGTAATCAATATTGGATGTGAACCACGTTTTAAATTGACCTTACGTATATTATTTTTTTTGTTAGGCTGCTAAATTAATCTTGTTGACAGAACATGGTGTGCCGATGACCATTTGCAACTTCGGGAGGATAATCCTCACCGTTTAATCCCGTTATTCCGGTGGATGAAAGTTGCTTCTCAAGTATTTATTGCGCTGTTTATTATGTTTTGCGGCTCAATCCCTAATGAAGTATTTGGGTGAAAATGCCGTTATCCTAGACCTACTACTACTTAATTACTGCTTACTGCCGTTCTTCTCCTCCGCAGTCATCAAGATTGGGGAAGGCGTCATCGTTTTCTTTTTTTTATTTCTTTGTTTTTCTGGCTTTGTTGTTTCTAGTTTCAGGTTTCTATTGTTTTCTGTTAAATATATGCTCATGTAGGAATTCGTTTAGGCTGCGTAGTATGGGTGATCGAGGAGATTTTTCTTGTATCTGAAATATTTTTTAGCCGATGTGGTAGTAGGTTGTATAGGTTCAT